GGGGGGGGGGGGGTTGGCTTTAAGGGTTTGGGTTAAGGCACTCTGAAGAGTAGCGTTCTTTTGTAGAGTTTGTTTATGCATTGTTGGGATCTGACGTCTCGCGGCTTCTCGTTTGGCAAGGCCAATCGTAGCATAACCAAACTGATCTAACACGTCTCTGTGTGTGTGTATACACATAGACAGAGAGAGCTAGGTTTAGAGATGGAGATCGAACGCCCTTATCTTCCTTGCGAGCCAAGATTCCGGTGCTGGCCTCATACTTCAGCCTATGGGGCTTTTGGGTTTCTTAGCCTGTGGCTCCAGCGACTTGCTGTCTTCAGGGATATCCCATAGAAGAAGCGGTTCAAGTTGGCCTTCTCCCACACCGACAGGGCCTTTGGAACTTTGTCGCACGAAAAACGTAGAACATAACTCCCATTCAACGCACCCCTCCAGGCCGAAACACTGTACGCCTTTAGAGCCCCCATTGTTCCTTTAGGGTTTAGGGTTTANNCCCCAACAGTCTAGGACATTTTCAGGTGGGTAGTTACCATTATAGGAGCCTTATAGAAGGTCGTTATACCTTATGGAAGCCTAATAGAAGCCCTACAGACCCTGAACTCCCCTCCTGTGGTTTCCTTTAAAACAGGCTGCAACGCCTGGACAAGCCTGACGTTGCCAGCAGCTGCGGAGTCTGCGCCGCTCTGGACGATCTGCGCGGGGCCCCCCGGGGGACTGGGACAAGTTCGAGGTACAACTAATATAGGGGCCTAAATAATTACCAATACTAACGGGGTTCTTTATTTTAGTTCTGGTATAAAATTCACCACGAAACCCTGTTAAAGTTTGAATTTTCAAGGCCCCTACATTAACTCCTTCCTCGTTTAGAGCTTATCGGGTTTAGGGTTGCATTCTCCCAAGCTTTGCCCTATATGGAGCAGCTTTGCCGAGTTTCAACCCTAAACCCTAAACCCTATACCCTATACCCTATACCCCAGACCAAAAGCCTGCGAGGTTTCTGTCCGCCGAGTATCCTGCGCGCAGATGGAAGTGGAGCTGCTTCCCCCCATGATGTTGAGGCCTTAGGGTTTAGGGTCTAGGGTCTAGGGGTTTAGGGTCTAGGGTTTAGGGTCTAGGGTTTAGGGTCTAGGGTTTAGGGTTTAGGGTTTAGGGTTTGGGGTCTCGGGTCTAGGGTCTAGGGTTTAGGGTCTAGGGTTTAGGGTCTAGGG